GTGGTCCTGCAATGGATTCCTGGTCACTGTGGCATTAAAGGCAATGAGATTGCTGACACACTTGCTAAGAAGAGGACAACAATTTTGCAATGCATGGACCGGCCCATGTCTTTCCACACAATGAAGGCCTTAATCAGGAGAGAATTCCAGACCTCAAGGTACAACGAACTCAAAGCTCGAACAAAGGAGAAACAGTGGACAGTGGCACTCCCCGACATACCCGACTGGCCAAGAATTGAAGCCGTTGCTGAGTTTAGACTACGTACCGGACACGATTGCTTGGCAAAACACCTTCACAGATTGGGAGTATACACTCAACCCGCATGCCCTCTATGTAACCTACATGAGGAAATGGAGAAGACCCACCTGATTCGGTGTCCAGCTCTAAAGACAAGGACAGAAAGCCAAAGATACTGGGAAGCAAGAAGACTGCTAATGAACTGCTATTAATTAACTGCTATAAATGTACCCCCCCCCTCCCCTCTTGGGGGAAGCTGAAGTCAAAGTTTAAGGGCTAATGATAAATATCATAAAGCCTGCCATTTGAAATAAATAAATATTGTTTATAGGTTGGTCAAATACTGTATTTTTAAATTGCATCACAATATATTTCTCATTACCAATTAGTATGGAGATGTGATTACCAATTACTTTTAAACTGGGATATTCTTATACACAATCGCGAATTTTCCTCATTTGCCTATCGTCAAGCATTCCATTTAATGTAAGACAAGTGCGTATACTAGAATTTTGCCAGTGGAATTAATAATCTTCAAAAGTGCCTAATGGAGAGAGTTTTCCATAGCCTACACTATTCTTGGGCATTTCTTAAATAAAATAATAGATTCCCTTTTCATTTCGATATTCTTCCAACTAACCTGTGGCGTCCAGTTATAACGTAAGGAGAGGAAACATCTAACTAAGGCCAAAGTAAACTCTAAATCACTCAAACTCGTTACTACTCAGGTAATACAGAAACATTTACCAGCATCGGATAAGTAAAGAAGTGAAAAGGTTTGACTACAAATATATTTATTTATTTACATCAAATGACAAGCGCTTTGATAGTTATCATTAGCCCATTAGTTGACTTCAGGGATCACAGAGAGGAAGGAACATCAAAGTGAAAAAAGTCGGGAGGGGGGGGTGGAACTGAAGAGTGTTTCAAATATGTAAAAGAGACAGACACAAAGTCGAAAATGACATACAGTGGGGTGATGGTAGTTTGAGGTCAGAAGTCAACTGCCGGATTATAGACTTTTTTCCCGTATGGGTATACGCTGCATAGAGTGCACAACGTGGAGGTAAGTCTATTGTTCTAGCAACGCCAATAGAGCTTGCTAGTATGGCAAAGTAATCATTCGAAGGCTTGCCCTTTTTGGTCTCAATGTGTTAAATTATGTCTTGTTGGCGTAAGTGTAAGTTGACACAGAGTATTGTGGCATTCATATCACATAAGCTTACCTTATCTCAGTCTACTCAAACTCTCTAATTCGATACACTGATGGCTTAAGAAAATATTTTAGTTCCAACAATAAGAGCAGGTTCTAAAAACAATTAATCTCTTAATTGACTGAGTCTTTCCCAGTGCCCTTGAAAAATATCACTTTAAGCTCTTCCAATTGATAAATCTAACGAACCAAATGAAATCTTTGCAATTTGTATGAACAAAGTTTGCAGATTTCGTCTAAAGTTCATTGTCAAGGAAATCTCAACATTATTGCCAACTTTGCTTTTTGTTTATAATATTATTCCACTGGACAGTAACAGGATTGATGAAAACGCTCTATCAATATTAATATATCACTACAATCTGATATTATTGATCAAACAAATGTCTATTCGGTTCCCATGAATTCCAACGAAAAGTTATCTTCCATTACAGGTCACTGTCTTCTTCTCACTGGTGCAGACGCAATGGCCATCACATTATTGACCACTTCTAAGCATCTTTGCATTGTGATTATTCATTTCGTAATAAGACAAGTATCTACTTGGCGAAATTGCACAAGGATATGACATGATTTTGTTATGAAATTATTCCAGCATTTAAAATTAACAATAAACTAGAGCACTCGTGCAGGGAGACGCCCACACTACAGTTGCAATATTCATTATGAGCACACAAACAAGGAGGAAATAAACTCACCGTCATGTAGAAGGTGGCATGTGCGTTGCAACCAGTTTTGGGACTAAGGGAAATACTCACTGACAAGTCGTCTACCGATTCAACTGCAGCCTGACCGTCTGTCGACGAGTCAATAGTCCGGTAGAGATGCTGCACATCCTTGAAGAAGGAGCGTTGGGAAGTCGATGCCACAGCCATCTAGAAAGTGGTGAAAAAAAGTAACTTCACACTTCTCTGCTTTGAAAGACTTACAAACTAAGAGATTCTGGAGATAAAAATTGTCATATATGGCTTTAGCCGAAAAGACAACAGTAATTTGTGATTTTACTGCAATTATTAAAGCCACTCCAGAACTGCTAATGGGCGAGTACCCATAAAACAGGGAAAGTGGGAGATTTAGGAGATCAGTAGCAACAGTGCGCGAATCGTTTATTGGAATATATCAAATATATAAACAAGCTGGTTAGAAGGCTAACGCACAAATCTTTTTCACAAAGCTCAAAATAGCCTCTAGTTTACGCCAATAAGGCGATGTGAAAGCATTTCAAATCTTACCCGGTAAGTACAAGCTGATGCAGTGCATCTGCTTTAGGATTCTCACTTAACATGCCCTCTTATATTCACGCGCGCGATTTCAAGGTCGCTCATGACTGCCATAATTTCTCTAATACGCCTCCTCTCGATTGTGCAATTGTTGCGCAATTGGAGGGGCTTAAGGAGGTATGACTACCTCTACCCTTTTATTGTTATACAGTGGCTTTGGGAAATAGAAACGCTAATGTTAGATGGCGTTCCGAAAGAATGAGAAGCAGAGCTGGAACATTTTGCTTCGTGTGCAGAAGGGCATTAGCGGTCAAGGAGCTATAGATCTTGTGGTTCTATTAGCCAATCAGAAAGCTTGCAGACTATTAAGTAAGCATTTTACCTCTAGTTTACAATGGGCATTCTTAACCAGAGAATGACATTATGCCTTCTAGGATCCCTCTGTCGAAGTTTACTCTTTCTATCGCACATCGTCGAACGACGAAATTCGGAAAAAGTAATGCATCACCATTTCGCAATATTGCAACAAAATCTGTTTTCCCATCAATAAAATGCATTATGGTGACTAAGTAAATGCATCCACAATAAAAAATTAAGATAAAATTATTTGAAACAAAGACAAATGGGAACACCTGTATATGTAATTGGAAGAAGATTCAACACATTTTCGGTAGCCACTGTAAGCTTTAACGTGATGTTCACCAAGATGTCTTCCGTCAGTTTCTATTCACATGTAACTCTTTAACCAATGCGTACACAGTAAGAGTGGCTCCCTGTCGTACTACCTGGAGCTCGTAATACCAGAATAAAATGGTAGTCAGGCTAAGTTGGTTCGTTGTATGAACCAATAAAAAGTCTCCTTTCACCCTGGCCAATAGTAACGGGATTGAAACTGAAAGAGCCATTTTCAAGCTACCGACGACATGACACTACTCCACAGGACAGATCGTTCTAAATGAATTCCTTAAATTGTAATAAGCGGATGGTTTCAAGAAGACATTGACCTGGTTTTGGGAACATAAGGAGAATTTATCAATTGAGCGAGACCACGTAGCACTCAGTTAACTTGACCTTCAATAATTTGAATTGAATTACGACACTTTTGGCCTCAGTATTCTAAATTTAGATAGTTATAGTGCCAAAAAAATTTCAATTTTGTTTTGAGTGATATTTTCAACGAGGTCGTAGTACCTGAAAACTCGAAATAAATGTTGTTCAGTAATTCGATGATTACCTAATTGGCAACCCTATAATAAAGCGGTTCTGAGTCGTTTGAATAATCTACTATAAATTTGTCAACAAACAAATCCCACCTGCATCTAGTGACAACTTTGGAACCCTCTAATTACTATCCGCATGACTCAGGGCCTTCAATCAGTTGATTAATTAAATAATTGCTCATTCATTGTGACCGATCTTAGTGCTAACTGGGAGAATTTGGATGGGACTGAGTAAAATTAGGAACATTACAGAATTCACCATTCTCATTCGAAGTGGGCTCTAGCAAAGGCACAGCGCGATACTACTTTGTTATTGAAAATTGCTTCATAAAATTTTGCTCATGAGGTGTAACTTTCATCTATATAACCTCATGATGTAATACGACAACTTTTTAGGTGAATGTTCTCTTACACTTCTTGAGTGCACACACTCAAGGACGAAACACATTGATCAAGATCCGAATTCTTGATATTCTTCCTCTGTGCATGAAGTCTGCTCAAACGAGTTGAAAGAGAAAGCACGGCAGGGCCACACCACGGCCCAATAATAATTTCACACACCTTGTCAAGCCACCTCAGTTCTTCTCTCAGACCTCCCCACCTCCACTTTCTTCTTAGCAATGTATGGGTGCCAAGGATTGAGTTAGATGGGGTAACATCAGACGCAGTGCAAAATAATTGTTAATCAAGTAGCACAATTTGAATGGTTTGTTGGCTTTCCTTGATTATCTATTAACGCAAAATCTGCCTTATTTAATCAATTGTTAGTGAACCACAAGTGTAATCGATTGCGCCGACAACATCACGCGGTCTTTGCCACTAGAAGTGTTAATTTGCATTCAATTGATGGAGTTGTCAATTGGCGATAAATGTTGTGAGTGGCATTACGTGATGGCTTTCCTTTTCATTTTGAAATTGCCCTCATTTCTAACCATAGAACATCTTTTCACTTCACAATTCATTGACCACATTGTGAATACTCACCCGTTACTGAAGTGTCACATCTAACTCCCATACACTTTCCAATTCCTATGAAGAGAGAGATCAATTTCTCTAAACTCAATATACTTGACAACGGATCATTATAACCTATTTTGATGCAATCCGAAAGGAGGGCTAAAAGAATACGGAATTTTGTTTGTTTATGACTCATCCGAATTGGTATTGCAGTCAACTACAGTATAACCTGCACGAGGGTGTTGAAATGGAATGGATTCCAATAAAATTTCAGAATAGCTTTCTCTGGAGAACTAGGGCCCCCATTAATTATCAGTCTTATTTCGATTGGAGGTTATAATTGGGGATCGGAAACATTATCCTCCATTTCTCCGAAGACTAATTTCATGGTTTTGTTTAATTTGTGAAGAACAAGATGGTCGAAGAAGTGGGGGTGAGGCTGAAAACACTTTGATGCTGATGGATCGTGAATTGTCTGTTATTGAATGTTTACTCGATATTACTCTGATATAGCTAGAAATGTGGAAAACATTTCGTATTATCGTCATTTTTAAATGTTCTAGTATGGATTGATCCTTAAAATAATAATGTAGGACCTTAGGTATAATTAGTTATGCCCATTTAAGTCAATCTTCTCGACATTCCTGTAATACAAAGCACTTAGGCACTATACATTCCCCCGTCATTTTATTTGAAAAATACGCAATGTGCTAATTCAATATGCCGAGCTATTGAGGTATGTGCTATCGAATCACACAGAATCATCATGTGGCCATCACAAACCGTGGTTGACATAAAACCTGTCCTTAGTCTCGTGGCACACTTCCTCTTCTTTTTCGAGAAGGTATCACAGTGTCGTTCGCTTGAAGGATAATATGAGAGGGAATAGTACTCCTACTCATAAGGAAACGGCTCGCCAACATTATTGAATTCATTATTTGCCGCCATTCGAGACAGATGCAAAAGTAGCGACAGACGATTTATGTAATTTCGGTCGAGAAAAAAAATGACAAACGCTATTTGGTGCTTAGGCACTTTTGATTTTGTGTAGACAAGGTTAGTGACAGATGGTGCCCAAACAATTTCATTTATATTCAAATGTGAAGTGTTTGGACTTTGGTAAATAAAGAAAATAACAGTATTTTTGAAGTGTTACAGAACTTATATTCGTTCATGCGTTTCTTAAATTATCAAGGAAATGGGTTGGATAATATTAATGAAAAGTGTGAGTATGATTACTCGCAGTATCACCATCTGTTCGTTTCCAAACAACATGTCTGATAGTACTACAAAATTTCTGGAGCCCGTATTTGGCTTCGCATGTCAATATGTCATTAAAAGAAATGATATAATTATCCTTCGACCTACCCTGATTTAATTAATTGTCTCCCAAAATGTGAAACTTCATATAACCAAATTAGGTGAAATCTATTTTCCCCCAACTATCGCTCCACTGGAGATGTAGTGGAGTTGCAGTTGATTCAAATTTCTTGATTTAAAACAGCTTTTGGCAATTTTATGCTTGATCTGAATTAACTGACAGGTGAAGATATAGCAAGTATGGAGAATCCAGCTATTCCATTACATAAAACTGTATCGCATTGAAGACCCTTGCGTTTTTCCAAGTAAAATATTGATAATGGTGTAATAAAAATGTGAAAACTAAGCTGTAACCATCAAGGAGTGAGGTTAGTTGTTCTATTTCGCTTATTTCACAGGAAAACCAAAAGTGGAGAATAAAATAAGCACCTATATACCTAGTTATATTGACTAATAGAAAGGGGTGTGTGATAGACTTACCTCCACGTGGTGCACCCTGGGCAACGTACTCTCTATTAACTGGCAATTGACTTCTGACTTCAAACTGCCATGATCCCACTGTATGTCATATTCGACTACTTCAAGGTACTCATCTCACCTTTATAACCATCAAAACGCCTGTCATTTGATATAATAATATTGACTAATAGAAATAGTGGCATTCATGTAATGAATTTATTATATGCGAATCAAATAAGAAATAGTTAACATGATTCTCAATTTGATTAAGTTTTTTATGGCAATATTCATAATTTACTTGTGTGCCTTAAAAATTTCATCTGCAACTTTGAGATTACGGCCAGTGAGTTCATGACATATATAAATGAAGTTCCTAGTTAATGCATACTTGCACGTTCGGCTAGATCTATTCCACAAATTCACAAAATAGTCTTAGGTCTATCTAAATAAGTCAAAGATGGTCCATTGTGATTCTCCATACACTTTCAATCCCTATGAAGTTAGAGAGCAATTTCTCTAAACGCAATATACTTGACAACGGATCATTTTAACCTCTTTTGAAGCAATCCGAAAGCAGGGCTAAAAAATACAGATTTTCGTTGGTTTTTAGCTCAAAGGTAAACGATGTTGAAGTAAAATAACAATGCAATTGGCACAAGAGTGGATATTGGGATGGAATTCAACTTAACTTTCAGAAGA